TTCTACAAATGATTCATCTTTTCCAACAACCATGCTTTTGAATATGTCTATGATTCTTCACGCTACAAAGCTTTTTGACTTTCTATCATCTCTAAAACACTCTATTAGATGCCCAGTTCCTAAAATGCATTAGACAGAGCTCCCTCCATGGGAAACTGACAGGTAATCCAAGGTTGAATATTCTCTTATAGAGGTGTGCAATGAGTGAGTCTCTTTAAAAAAAAAATCTGAGTAAAAAGGCAGACTTAGAGCAAAACCGTACTGTAGTATATTTTACTGAAAGGCAAATACTTGAAAGAAAGAGGAAGGCAGGAATTGATGGCCCTAGGAAGGCTTCAATGTATATAGTAGCTCGTGATCTTTCTCCTTCCTTTCTTAAAAAATTAATTATTTTAATTCAAGTATAATAACATACTTGGTGTTTCTCTTTCAAGGATTATTCTATAACATAGAACTACCAGCTCCGGTCAGCACGACCCTAGTGTCCACTCCTCTGTGGTCAAAGAGTACCTGTCAAGGGAACGATGAGCATTTTTTATTTAATGGCTGTTTTTTCACTATATAATAAGATCATATGCATAAACTGTATTTTATTTGCTTACCACTGTGAACCAGGAAGATGGTGTCTAACACAGAGTAGGCACTCAGCATATATTTAATGAATAACAGCTGAAGAATCAAAATAATTAGAACTTAAATCCATTCTAGACAAAGAGACTGATATTCATAGAAAGGAATTTTGGTGAGAATATGAAGTAATTTGGGGAATGACCAGTACTAAAGGTTTGAGCCAGAACATTAAGTACGAAACTGAGTATAAATGGCAGGTCAATCTCAAAAAGAAGTCAGGACCCAGATTCCAGAGGCTTCATGTGACATGTTGGAAACCTGGAATTTCATCTCAAGAACATCACAGAATTCTTGGAGAACATGAAACAAGATCTGAGGTCATCTGGCCTTTTTAAAAGATGATTCTGGAGGAAACAGATGATTATAGAAATAAGGTCCACGGCAGGTGGAGCATTAGGAGGCTAGTATAATAATTTCTGAGGGAAATAGGGGAACATTTTTTTAAGGTTTTATTTATTTATTTTAAGAAAGAGAGAGAGAGCACAAGCAGGGGGAGCAGCAGGCAGAGGGAAGCAGGCTCCTCGCTGAGCAAGGAGCCTGACATGGGGCTCGATCCCAAGACCCCAGGATCCTGACCTGAGCTGAAGGCAGACACTTAACTGACTGAGCCACCCAGGCATCTCCAGAGGATCTTTTCTAACCAGTGAGGATACCAATGAAGACTCTCAACCTCCAATTCTGCTTTGGGTGATTTGCTGCCACTCGCTAAGATCAGGGAGCATAAACGGAGAGAGAGTTTGAGGAGGAACAGATCGTGAGTTCCAATTCTGGCCTGTGGGGTGAGATGCTTGGGAGCTATCTGTATGGACACATCAGCGAGGCAGTAGAATAGAAAATAAGACTGTAAAGGGAGACGTCCAGGCTGGAGTTGGAGGACTGGGCATCATCAGCCCATAACAGACAGCTGAGATCATTGAAAACCTGCAGGGGGAGTAGACAGAAGGAGAAGAGGCTTGTGAAGCAAAGTCAGTATTTAAGGAGCAAGTGAGAAAGAGTGACCGGCAAGGGATCCTGAGAAGTGGCATCACGAATGGCGGGAGGCAGACATGCAGAGATTAAAAAATGAACATAGATTCTGTGAAGAAGTTTTAGAAAACAGAGCCAACGAGAAATTGTAAATTCAAGTTAAGCTTTTAATACCTAATAACAGAGTTTGGAAAATACATTTAAAACTGAAGAATTACAGTTTTTCTCTCCAAGTTTAAAGAACGCTGTAGTTTGTAAGAATTTTAAAATTGTTCTGTAAAACCCATGCCTATGTTTAAAAACCAAAATGAAATGTATACGTGAAGGACAGGAGAAAAATTTAAAAGCAAACCTTCAAAGAATGACATCAAGGGATAATTACTAAATGTTTATATCTCTATTGAATCCTGACAGAAGATGAGATTTCTGGATCAGAGAACAGACAAATTATTGACTTACATAACAATCTTCACATTGGTCCCCAATCCCTCCAGTTCCCCACAGGGCAACAGATGAGAGCCAGATGTACCCTTTGCATACAGGAGCTTGTACCACAGGAGGGGAACTGGGAAAATCGGAATCTCAGAGCTGGTAGTGTGCAGCTGGGCCAGCTGCCCGTCCTCCCCCCAGAGAAAGAGAAAGACCTTAACTTTCTAAAGTAAACAAACTCTCTCAGGGGAGGCAAAGGTCTCTAGTTTTATTATCCTTAGAATCTAAGCAGATGTCTCCAGGGGAGATGTTTCCAAATCTCTCAGAAAGTCTCTATAAGTCTCAGGCTTATTTGCCATCCAGACATCTTTTAACAGCCATGCAATGTCTTGCTCAGGAAGCCCTGACCACACATGAATGTGAACATATTCACATCGTTTCCCAACAATTACCAGAAGTGCTAGACTTTGAAGCAGACTTGGGTAACTAGACTGGGGCAGAATCTAGCATCTCGTGATCTGTAAAATGGAAAACCTTCCTCTTGATTTTGCAAGTCCTAGCTGAGTCAGTTTGCGAAGAAGGGAATCTAAAGTACCATGTCACCCTGTGATGATGGATTCTATATCCCACTGCCCCCAACTGCCTGCAAGACCTAGAACACGGATCAGCATCTCCAGGAGATTGGATAATATCAAATGACCCTTAAAGCTTGAACAGCATGTAATCTCTGTTCATTTCTGGCCCCATCAGCCCCAGATGGAATTTATCACTTTCTCTTCTCCATTCCCGCAGCACTTTTCAAGCATTTTTATGATTATGTGTCCCTCCCATCCTCAGTGGACAATAAGAAATGGAAGAAAATGTTTCTTGGGTACCATTGCATGCACCATTGTGTTAAATGTTAGGAGGAATTCCAACAGTCACATCCTTAAGAATGCTTACTGTGTCATATTTTGTACATTTTGAGATATAGTCCTAAGCCATATTTGCTTAGTGGAGAGAGAAAGAAATTCAGAATTAGCCATCAATGGGGGGCAGAGGGGATGTTCTCTACCTAAACATGTCTTTCTAGAGAAGTGAATAAAAAGTGAAGGTGATCTTAGTCTTTGAGGGAAAAGGTGCATTTTATATGGGGTGACCAAGAGAAGAGAATTAGATAGTGGTTGATACCACAAACCCTCACTTTGATACTTGTTATAATGAATAAAAAATAATGTTTTTAAACGTTTATGCATCTTCAATGATTAGCTATTTGATGGTGAATTTAGCAATGTTCAAGAACAGTTATCAACATTTAAAAATAGAAAATAATTTCCCTCTACCTCAAACTTGATTGTTTTAAATTGTCACTCAAGCAAGAGTCTGAGTGTTAAACAAAATCAGATGCTTGTGATTTATTTTCTCCCCAGAGAGATTAAAAAAATACTATCTATTAGTTTCAAGAGAATTAATTAACATTTGTAAAGGTCTTTGGTATAAAATGCAATATAAAAGGAACGGAAATATTCTGATGTTCTTTTCTTTTTAAAGATTTTATTTATTTATTTGAGAGAGAAAGAATGAGACAGAGAGAGAGCAGGAAAGGGGGGAGGGTCAGAGGGAGAAGCAGACTCGATGAGGGATTCGATCCCAGGACTCCAGGATCATGACCTGAGCTGAAGGCAGTCGCTTAATCAACTGAGCCACCCAGGCGCCCAATATTCTGGTATTCTGATGGAACTTATACAGAAGAAGAACTGTTTTTTCTAACATGATTATTAGGAAAAAGATTCAGTTATCTAGGCATATTTTTTAGGGATGTGTATAAAGAAGGCATTTCAATTTATTGTTTGGTTCCTACACAGGTTTAATTATAGATTTTTGTAACACAGTATTTCAAAGAGCATATTCGATCCTTTTTTAAAAAAAGGATATAAATTTACCTCAGTAATACAAAGGATAAATTTCATTTTGCACTTTATATAGCTCAGCGTCACGATAACTCAAAGCTGGCATTTTAATTAACTTAGTCTTACTTTTTATTTATTTATTTTTTAAAAGATTTTATTTATTTATTTGACAGAGAGAGACACAGCGAGAGAGGGAACACAAGCAGGGGGAGTGGCAGAGGGAGAAGCAGGCTTCCCGCGGAGCAGGGAGCCCGTCGTGGGGCTCGATCCCAGGACCCTGGGATCCTGACCTGAGTCGAAGGCAGACGCTTAACTGACTGAGCCACCCAGGCGCCCCTAGTCTTACTTTTTAAATAATTGCACATCAAAGCTTAATAAAATAACAAATATTTCTCTCAAATCACATATTTTGTCTAATTAAGGAATGTTCAAATAAATATCATATGTTTTACATATTAAATATAAAAAAATTAACGACTCATTGACTTCCAAGATGATTTCCAAGTTGGGTTTTATCTGCATTTAGGATAAAGCAGATATGAAGCACCGACAGTCATGCCCAAATTGGTCATTACTATTCCAGGGCAATGGACCAGTACTTTCCACTCATTTATATGTAATTTTTATCCCACATGCATTCATCTAGACTAGGCAAATGTGTCAAGTACAGTAAGTAAAACCATTGATAATTTTGTTCAAAATTTAGTAGTTTTCCTTTATAACGTAGCTTTCTTTGTTATCATGTTGCTGTCTTTTCCCCATATAAAATCAGCTTTTCTTCTATGTAACATTTTCTTTTTTTTTTTTACAGTTCAATCAGAAAGGTCAAGGTCAGATGTAATTCACACATTAACAAGTACTACAAATGACAAGGACAGACCAGGAAGGCCACTTTGATGAAAGCTTATAAATTACAAAAGGCTTTAATAAACTCTTATTTTTGTATAGATGAACATTGCTGCCACCATCATGAAGGACAACAGGCCACTGTGCTGGATCTACCTGCAAAAGCATTCTGACCTGAACTTGACATAGTCATATGTACGCGTTTGTTTTATTCTCTCTGTGTTTCTCTTTTTTCTCCAGTATAGTGCACTTAATCCACGAGAATCTTGGGACATGTGGCATCCCACTCTGGTGGCTGAAGCTTTATTTGCCATCGCAAACATCTTCAGTTCCTTGCGCCTGATCTCGCTGTTTACTGCCAATTCTCACCTGGGGCCTCTGCAAATATCTCTGGGAAGAATGCTCCTGGACATTTTGAAGTTTCTATTCATATACTGCCTTGTGTTGCTAGCATTTGCAAATGGCCTAAATCAATTGTATTTCTATTATGAAGAAACAAAAGGGTTAAGTTGTAAAGGCATACGATGTGAAAAGCAGAATAATGCATTTTCAACGTAAGTCGAACAGACGTTTTTATTGGTAACGTCGTGCAGAATTCAGAGGGTATTACATTATGAATTTGAACCGTGACAAGTGGTTGCAAAGGAAATTGTGCTTCATGCAGAAAACAGAATTAACGTGGCTTTGAACGAATGGATCCTTCTGACATTAAAATATATATATATATCTCCAGTGCATTTATTTTAAGTCTTAGTGAAATGGTTTTTTAAATGACCTCATATAAAGGAAAGCTATATACTCGGTTTTAAATTGTGAAGTAAAGGGGAAACCTCTGATAGAATATACGTAAAGCCAATTGTGTGAGAAAATCCAAGTACTTCTCGAGCTTTCTGTGTTTTTCAGATAGGAAAGTCCCTTTACCTGTTCTTTCACTCTCTAATTCTCTGCACAAAAAACATCTAAGCATGGAGAAATTATCCAAAATAGGAACCCCAGGCTAACCTAGGCCACTATAATTATGCACACAAAACTCCCTGTGCCCTTATACCTGATGAGCAATAGGCCTCGCTCAGTGCCAAACTCCAGTCATTCTCAGACAGGTTTGCTGACAGCATGGGTTCCTGGGCCCGTGACTGATGCTCACACAGTCTGCACACCTGTGTCGGTTTCCTTCCCACTGTGATCACCAGACAACTGTGATAAACAGTTAATTAGCAGAAGAAGTTGGGTCATGTCCCTCTACACAATACCTGCCAGTGCATATGTGGTCATTTTGTAGGTGACTAAAAATCAGACCCTGTTCATTGGCCGTTGTAGAATTTTATGTTGAATAAGAAAGTGCAATAATTTCTCAAGTAGGAAAAAAATCAATACCTTCATGTAAACTAAGTCACTTATGGCTACAGTATTTGTGTTGATTCACTTCTGTATCTGTTTTATCTTTGATCCCAATACTTAAAAGTCCATTTTAATTAACCCACATATGCTTCTTTGCACATAAAATTTTAATCTCAGCCTTAGCTGCCTCAGATCCGTTCAGAAATAGGTTTGATACAAACCCTGAGTCATAGAGGGAACCAAAGGTCATCGCAGCTTCCCCTTGTCCTTGCATCCCTTGCTCTCAGCCCGAGTTCTCCAGCCTGACCAGGCTTGTCATCTTCTTCATGTCCTTATCTCTGACCCTGGACAGGAGGGATTCAGTGAAACCCCTTGAGGCAATGTCCTCGTGACTAGCATGGCCCTGGATTTTGTCTCCGTGTTGATATCTGAACTTCATCTTTCCCCCACTTGTTGGTGCTCCTTGACGTGGCAATTTGCTCCTGGCAACTGAGACTAGGGATTTACAATAGTCAGATCCCACCAACCCCCAGCTTCATGGACTAGAATGTGGCCTCTTACAAACATCCTGGATACTGTCTGCTGTCTGTTTCTTGATTTTTGATGGAAAGCCCTTCTGCTTACCCCAACTTTCCCAATTCCCTCGTTACTTTGTACTGCGTGCCCTGATGCATAGCGCTGGCCAGGTTCCCCCATCTACGTGCATTGCCGTATCCTTCTGCTTCGGTGGAAGAACTTCCACACAGCACCTAGAACTCAGTTACCTCCCAGGTTGTGTTTCATTCAGAAAACAGTTCTGGTTCCAAAACTCGGCCTCTTCTCAGACATCTGATTCATCCGCAGTTAACCCCATCCTCATGTATGATCCCTAAGTTCCCAGGAATCACAGTGCCCTTTTACTGGTTTTGCAGTAAATGATTACATATTATGAACAAATTTTACTCTCTGTCCAAGAAGTTCCCTCGCTATGGAAGTCTGAGGCAAAGTTTCTAGTATAAATTGCATTCTAGAAGCAAATGTATTGAATTGCATGGTATTATTTTAGTGTACCCATGCCAACGGTCTCCTCTATTATCATGAAAAGCAACAGATAATTGCATATCTCAAATATTACAGAGCCAAATCATTCAGCCCAAATAAATCAGGTATTCTACCTGTATTTTTTTTTCCAGATCATGAATGTAAATCTGCAAGCAATAATTCTTGGTATAATTAATGCACTAGAATGTATAGAATGTCTGAGGCAGGCAGAAGTTACCCATCCCTTGATGACCCTGTTTCAGTATAATGGGTCCAGTCACTGCAAGAGGATGTCTAGCGATGCTCTCTACAGCTTATTTCTTTGCTTTTATTGATCTTCGGTTTTCTTTTTCTAATTTCTTTTTATGAATTTCTTTTTATAATTTATATTACTCCATAAATTTCAATGGTTTTTTTTTTACTATCCATTATCTCAGAGATCTTATTCCATTTGAGGATTGAAAAACATCATACTTCATGTAAAGTACCTAATACAGTGCCTGCCATAGAATATGATTTAAAAAAAAAAAAAGCTAGCTACTTTACATCTGTTTGTCATTATCAGTAGTAACAGAGCATTATCTCCCACCTAGATCTCCCTGGTTCCTCTGTGTTACTCCTTCCCTTCAGGGTGCAAACGTAAGCTGAAACTCTGAGCCCTGTGTTTCCCCATTAGCCTCCACCCTGTCACCCTCCTTCCCTTCATCCAAACAATCCTGAAAAGAAGCCTGACCAAGACACCTTGTTTTCTTTTTATTCATTCTTCATCCAATTGCAATTTGGCTCCTGCTTCCATCAGTCCACTAACACTGCTCTAGAGAATATCTAGAGCCTAGAAAATTCCTAGAGCCTCCATATCCCTTCTGTCAAGGGACACTTACCTCTCTAAAGCTTATTGAATGTGTCTGCAACGTGTAAACCTGTTAACACTTTTACTTTTGAAATCTTGCCTTCCTTTAATTTCAATGTTACTATGTCTTTACACTTCGTCTCTTACTCCTCCAATTTTTCTCACTGTTCTCTTATAATTATATTTCAGTTATTGCTTTTAAATAGTGATCTTGCCTTAATGACTAACTTCAGACCATAATACAGTATCTCTGTTGAAAACTCATCTGTGCTGATGGATGCGGCCCTAGATGTCTTGAGGAATGACTCCTATATTCATATCACTAGCACAGAACTCTCTCTAAGATCTGTAGATCCAACTGTCCTTTGGATGCCTTTCCATGCATATCTCCTAAAAATTTAAACCCAAGGAAAATTCATCAGAGTCTGTCTAAAAATTTGTTCTTCCTCCTCAATGCTCTTTCTTAGTCAATACTATCACAACCCACCCAGAAATTTAAATCAAAAACTTGTGCTTTATACGATCCTTCCCTCCCCAACCCTTCCACATGCAGTCAATAGCATCTATTCCTGCTCTTCATTATCCTGGAGTCACCTTCCCTTGCTCACTGGCCATGCCTAGGTCAAAGTTCCCTTGCTCCTGGCCTCTGCCTTCTTTTATATGTCTTCCATCTTGTTCCCTGAGTGATCTTTCTGAACCAAAATCTTGACACTCCTCCAATGAAAGTGTCTAAATGGTTTCCCCTTCCTTACCAGGTACAGCCAAATTCCTTAGTATGACATACCAGGTCCTTCAACGATCTTCCCCTTGCTTCCTTATCTAGCCCCATCTTTCCCCACTCCCCAAAAACATTTTACTCTTCAACACTTTCCAATCAATCCCCAATTATATCATATTCTTCTTTCATCTCAGAATGTCCTTGTTCTCCCTTTCCAAGTGGCAAAATTGTCTTCTGTCTTCCAAATCCTACTTCAGACATGCCTTTTCCAGGATGTCTTCCTGATCCCCTGCTGACTGTGAGCTCCCAGTGGGCACTGCCTGGTCTGTGTCTTCTATGTCTCTCCTTCAATTTCCCCACCAGCAAATGACACTTTTTTTCTGCTCTTTTCACTAAGAAAACCAAATATTGAGTCACTGAAATTATTCTACCTACAATTTTAAATTAGTAGTCTCTGGTTAAGGGACTCTGCTGTGAAGAGAGGGGCATGGGCTTTATGACAGATCCTGGCTCATTGAGAAAATCCCTTTGATGTTTATTGAAGGTATATTCCTCAAAAGTGGAACTGGCCAACTGAGATCCTACTTCATGTGTTTTAATAATACATTATTCCTTATAAAGTAAGAGTAAAATAGTCAGATGTGTCTTATATTAATTTATGTTTCCTCATAGTTTTCGTTTCAAAGGATAGAGGCAAACCTCAACTGTGGAATATATTATCTTTTTACTTGTTCTGTTTCTCTAGTTGTAAGTATTTAACTGGGAAGCAAGCTAATTTTTTAAAGTAGCAACTGAGAAATATCTTTAAAGAGCAAGAGACAAAGAAGTTATCTTTAGGAAGGCAATGCTATAGCATCAACCCGTAAGAATTACCAGGTTTTAGTCAACTAGGGTTTTATGCTAAGTATTATTTGATTAAGTGTGGTATTTCCTTAGAACCATTCTGTCCTTATCTCACCAAAGAATTGGGAAAATAGTTGTCACATAAAAGCAGTCTGAGATGTACTGCAGCTAATGACTTTTCAATCTATGGGCAATCTTGCTATCATATAGTTCTGGGAATCACTAATGGTGGAAACATTTCTAGAAGCAGTGGCTTTAAAATGTTAACTTAGATTGCTTTTTTTTAGTCCATATAATGAATAATTAACATAATAATATAAATAAGAAATACTAAGGTCTTGATGCTAGGGTCTTAATTAATCTAAAAGTAAATATACTTTGCTTAAATGGAACTCTTCTGCACACCTCACTTTTGATTCATTTCACTGAAGAAAAGAAAAGAAAAATAAGAATGAAATCCAGAATTAATCACAAGATGTCACCTTATTTTGAATTTTCTCCTTTTCAAATTCTAATTAAAAACCTAAATAAATGTTTTGCCGAAGGGTTTGATAATATTCTCTAATAACTAGTAGTTCTTATTTAGACAGAAGCAAATCAGTATTGTTCAACCATAGCAATCCATTTATTGTACATCACACTTTTTATCTGAACACTTAAAAAAGCAACTGTTAAGGGATTTATGTGGCATTTTATATAATTTATTATAGCACGTAGATTATGTAACTTCTAGTTCTCTCTCTGAACCGCTGTTGATACCAGGGGAAAACCAGCTGAATTATATTTGTATACTCATGGTGAGAATTTACACCATTTAGAAAGAAAGAACAAAATTATCTTATATTGAACCCACATGACACTGTCATTAATTTTAGAAATTGTCCTTAAAGTTACTAAAAATAAGGATCTATGGCCTTGGATCAAATTTACTTATTTCCTGAGAAAGTTTTCAAAGAATAATTTGGAGTAGGCTTTTCCTAGGGCCAATGAATTAGATTAAACTTTCCCGGAGAGTTTTAGAATCTGACATCTGGGTTGGCCTTTAAGAACACACAGTCAACTCCTCACATGATGCACATCCCTGCTGGCAAGACAAAGTCTGATTGAGGTTGGTCAGATCAGCCCCCTTATCATTTTATGATAATTTGGTCCATTGTTGAATAGCAAATAGCAAAATAAATCCATAAATAATTACATATTTTATAATTAAAATTTAATTAAACAATTATAATATGAAATTGTTTACCTAAAAAAAAAAAAAAAAAACCTTGAGAAAAGAAGCCCTGAATGCCAATTAAGATCTCCTTAGTTAGATTTTCCTAGGTATACAGACCAAAAATTCTTGGAAGATTTCAAGTAACAAGAGTTTGGTCCAAGAATCATGCACAGGATTATAGCCTTTTGATCCTCTGAGGCAAGGATTGACCTTAGCAGGGGCAGAACCTAGAATAAGGCTTGGCTTCAGGAAGGGCAGGAGATGACATAGCCCTGGACCGTAAGATCATTTACTCTGAGAAACAGTGTTAACCTGAGTCATGCATTCCAAGTCTATCTTCTTCAGTGTTGACTTATTACCTGGCTTATTTCTCTTCAGTTCTCTGTTCTTTCATTTTTGTTGTCTCAAAACTTTGGCTTCTCATAATTCCAATGACCCTAACTCTTCATTGTAACTCCTGTCATTTCAGCCCCTTTTGTCAACTACCTCGTTCTCTTGATATTTCTAAGGTAAATTTGTATAGAGAGGAAATCTGATAGTGTAGGCTCATCTTTTTCAAATCAGTCCATGCCATTAACCCCTGGCCTCATATGAATTGGTTTTCCTTGGCTCACTCGACCTCTGAAATCCTACCTCCTTAGTCACCATGCCAGGTATGAGAATAGTTTTGTTTTTGTTTTTACAACATAATGTGACTAAAGTCTTATTTTAACCATTTGTCAAAGAGTATAAAAATCCTGTTATCATTTTATATACATTATACTAAGATAATGGTCCTGCTGAAACAAACAGTTCTTCATTTAGTTTCAGACATTCTTTATCTTATTTCGTTTCTTGGACTAAGTTAAGGAAACTTTACTTTCAATAAAACACCAGAGTTCATTCATTGGCAGGAATGAATTAAATGTTCCCTGAAATAGGAAGAATAGCAAATTTTGTTATCTGAGCATTTTGACATTTGCCATCTTATAGGATTCACTATGTACAACTTTAAATGGAATTGTGGGAATCCACAATGATAATATGATCTTGAGTCCTTCTACAACCAAGAAGCAAGAGCTCGTGAATGAAGTGACATCTTTCAAAGACTAAGCTTGAGGATGTATTATTTATTAACTATCAATGCCCTACGACACTTGTTACCAAGTTTTCTGTGAAAAGGATAGTAAATATTTTAGACTATGTGGGCCATATGTTCTCTGTTGCAACTATTTATCTCTGCCATTTTAACACAAAAGAAACCATAGACGATGCATCAATAAATGACTGTGGCTGTGTTTCAATAAAACTTTACTTATGGACATTGAAATGTGAATTTATAAAATTTTCAAATGTCACAAAATAGCTTTTTCCCAACCATTTGAAAAAGCAAAAACCATTCTTAACTCAGGAGCCATGCAAAAACAGGCTGTGGGTCAGATTTTCTCCTCTAGGAAACTAAATAGTTTTCAAAGCTCTTAGGAAAATTAAGTACATGATTTGTGCTATATGATGGAAACAATTTTCTTTAATTCTTTTTATTAAGTTTAATTTTATAATTCTTTAATACCTTTTATTAAGTTTAATTTTTAAATTAAACAAATACACATAATAGGAATCAAGTTCTATTGTTATATCTTATAGTATAATAGTTCTATTAATATAGCTATTAGCATCATTTTATCTTTATTCCAGGTTATTTGAGACACTCCAGTCCCTGTTTTGGTCAATATTTGGGCTGATCAATTTATATGTGACCAATGTCAAAGCACAGCACGAATTCACTGAGTTTGTTGGCGCCACCATGTTTGGGACATACAATGTCATCTCTCTGGTTGTCCTACTCAACATGTTAATAGCTATGATGAATAACTCTTACCAACTCATTGCTGTAAGTTGAATAACTTTATTTTAATTCCACATTTCCCCCTAGAATGTGTTATTTCTAACCATACTCTGTCCTATTTATCAGAGAAAACAGTCTGTAACTGGCTATTGATGAGACAGAACAGAATTATAATATCAATGGTTAATTTGAAGTTTCCAAACAGTATTATACCGTATTTGGCTACATACTAATTTAGTTTTGTCATATTATGGAAGATTATAAAGTAAATGAAATCTATCTTCCCAGGCAGTCATTGGCGATGGCAAGCACTGGGGGAGAGATGAATTATGAACAAGTGGCTCATCTCTATGCAGCACCCTTTGCATTTTCCATTGTCTCTGACCATTTAACCTACAGTCTTGGTATAAACAAACCCGTGCCATCCTGGAAAGATAAAAAAGCTAGCCTAGAGGGGAGTCTAAGGGAAAAAGCCACAAGATTTTCAGTTTCTTAAATCCAGAAAAAGCAATGTAGGAGTAACCCTGAATTCTACAACAGAGTACACAATACCATATATGTTTATTTGAAACTCTAGAATCCAAACAAGTTAGTTTATTTATTCATTCATTCAACAAGTTCTTATTGAGAACTTATTCTGTTGCCAAGTACTATTCTAGGAACTAGAAATACATCAATGAAATAAGAAAGAGAAAAGCCCTTTGTCTCCTTGAACTTCCCTACATGTCAATGGCCATTAGCAATAGCAACAGAACAAATCCATCCTGGGATGAAATACACTTAAGTCTTTCATATTTACACCTGAGACAAGTAGCATTTTATAAGCATAATTTATAACCATAATTGTCTTTTTAAATAGCCACAATTATATTACATCTTTGAATCTATTGCTAAACCGCTGGAATGCTGTTACTGTTATTTTGAGGAGCAGCATTCTGAATTTTACTTCAACAGTCTTTATGGAGGCAAGATACCCTGTCACGGATGAAAAACTGCATAAAACATAAGAATAGATTATTTTTATTTACTGATTCTCAAACTAAGTATTTGCACCGGATACACCTAGCTCCAAGATTTGCAGGTGAATATCTGAATTTGTGGAGCTTCATTTAAGCATCTTGCAAGTATGGATTTTTTAAGATAGTCTCTATGTATTTGCTTCAGAAGTTCTGTATTCCTCTGGTCAACACATTTGCAAAACATGGATTTTATTTTCCAGACCACCCTTCCAAAAAAATTAGAAAGTCTCTAATTATCAAGCTACATATAGAGAAACTGTATATACAATTTGGAGCCTATGAAACACGGGCCAACACTTTATGGAAGTGACTGCTTTTTTATGACCTTAAGCCAATTCTACTGACTCCCATTCTCCATGACTACAGCAAACAATATATATTTTTCTTCATTACTGCAGAACCTGTAAGCTTGTTTAGAAAGAAAGCCAGGGAAGGTGGGAGAAATAGAGAGGAAGAGGGGATTATGGGGGCGGGGGGCGGAATGCAACTTCTGTGTTTCTGTCTATTGATCAATCTATCCCATTAAACATTTGCTAAGCAACAATGAAGGTCACACATTTTCTAGATATGCTCATTCCTGTTGAAAGCACAATCTGTTCAGTGTCTAGATGAAAATCTCTATTGCTCAGAGTAGAAATGTATATACAACACATACATTCATTAGCACACAGCCATTTAGGAATATTAGAATGAAGCACAGTCTAAGGTTATACTCCTACTCTAAAATCTTAATTCTTCTTTCTAATATTAATGGGTTAAAATGAATTGTTTTGAAATCCTAAAATGTATGTATGCCCAGTTTCTACCACCTCCTACTTCCCAGATTTTCTGCTTTAGTCAGATTTGTGGCTAATTTAAGAGGGGACTGGCTGCCCTATCTCTAATTGTCACAAATGTTCTTAAGTTCTTCCAGGAAATTAATAAAGTGGGATGATTGATAAATGATGAGGGGGATAGCCTCAGGCTTACAGGCAGCCACTAACCATACCCCTATCTGGTACCATTTGGACAAAGTTATGTCAGGGTTCAATGCTGTGTCAGAGGCCCTATTCTACATTTGTTAGAGGAACTTCTCTCTGAATTTTTGCCTGTTGCCTAAAGATGGACAAGAATTATTCACATAGAAACATACCAAGTAAGACTTCTGGAAACACCAGAAAGTTAAGCCATGAGCATCCATGCAGGTGACACTCACCTAGGCAGGGATTCAAGGCCTTGGGTAAGACATAAAGGCCTGTTTGTGGCCAGAATCTAGTGCAACTGAGCTAATGTAAGCCTACAGTGCAGGAAAGGAAAATTCATCTTCAAGTCATAACTGATCACTGCAGTCTCTTTAATATGGAATTATTTTAGATGTCTGTTTCATGGAAGAAGGAAGGATAAATCCTGACAAGATTGCTGTGACTCTTTACCAGGGTAAGCCACCATCAGAAATGTTTAGATGACTATCGCTGAGAGTCAGCCTTGTTTTTATAAGCAATTTAATTAATGTTCCAAGAGCTGCTCCAAGTCAAATACAGGCTCTCTGTGAGGTTTATCTCACCTTAGTAATTAAGAAAACTGTCAACAGTTACCATATTCTCCCGTTCAGGACCATGCAGATATAGAATGGAAATTCGCTCGAACAAAGCTTTGGATGAGTTATTTCGAAGAAGGAGGTACTCTGCCTACTCCCTTCAATGTCATCCCGAGCCCCAAGTCTCTCTGGTACCTGATTAAATGGATCTGGACACACCTGTGCAAGAAAAAGATGAGGAGAAAGCCTGAAAGTTTTGGAACAATAGGGGTAAGAACACAGCATGTTAGTATTACTCTTTTTTTAAAAAATTGTGTATTTGAATATATTTGCATTTCCTGTTGGATATTTTTGTATTTTTAGCCTTTTTGTTTTTCCTGGTTGCATTTGGTGACCATTTATCACACAGCTACCATGTCTAAGACACTGGTTCCTACAGTGAGGGTGGTCACTGTTATTTAAATAGGAGCCCCACGTGACACAGGGCTCTCCTGGACCCATGAGCCAAAGCTGGGGGAACTGACACATTGGCTCTTGGTACCCCTGATTTCTAGCCCATTTCAGAATTGCAGCCTCAGGTTATTTGTGGCATTACTTACTCATCGTCTACTTCTCTCTCTGGATTGTAAGGGAAGGGGGCTGTTTTCAGTCATCTTGTTTTCTTAGCGTCTAGCTTAAGCTCCTACACAGCAGATAATGTTTGACAAAAATTTCTCAACTAAATGATTAAATGGATATTATAACTTGAAATTGTTGTGCCATGTTCAAGCACAGTGACTTCAGAATATGTCAAACTGCTCAACGTTTTGCTTCTACTCCCAATCATTTTCTCTAAATACCTGGAAGTTGGGTTTTTTGAAAATGTTAGGAACACCCAGAGCCATGCTCCTATTATACTGTAAATTAAACTTCCTTCGGAAATTTCTTTCATTCTGGAAACCAAGGCTTCAAGCAATTCCATCAGAAGAGACATGGACTTAGGACTTTGTTCCAGCCAAACCACTGACATGGAACAAGATATTCTTCATTTCTTCCTTACAGTTCTCATGGTGATCTTTTGAGAATTCATACTCTACCATTCATTATTCATTTTGACTTGCTCAGAGAAATTGCTTTGTAAGTATTCTAATATGCCATTATATTAGAATCACCAAGTAATACTAGTTACGTACTAAAATTTTTAAATTTGTTTTGAATTTTATTTAACATGGTTTTTGACTGTTAGCTATGCCCTAAGTGATCCTTCTCACTCGTTAACCTCATTGCCTACTAGGCATTGTTATCAGCATCAAATAGGCCTTTCTCTGCTGACAGTAGTATTGATTTCACTGTCTTGTCAGTAACATTTCAAATTCTAAAGAGAAATTGTTGGCAAGAGTATATAGCAAACAGAAAGGTGGTTAGGAGAAGCAGGTAGTTTCTTTCTTATAAATTCTTACCCCATGAACTTGGAGGACTAAAGTTTGGGCATATATCTGATCTTAGAAACCAAAGTTAAATTATGATGAAGTCTTAGCCAGCAATCCTCATGCTAATTGATAGACTTTACCACTAACTTTAGAAAGAGTGAAATTATTTTACTCCAGATGTTTGATTTCTGTCAAAAAATAGGTTTAAGTTACGTAAAAATGATTGTAAAATAAATACAATGACTTCGGTTTAATAAGCAATTATTGCACACGTTCCACATGCCAACCAGGAACTGGGCGGTGGGAGGAGGTACGAAGGCATGCTTTCCATCCTTGAGGGCATCATTTCTCATACAGGAGATATAAATATGAGAACATATTACTATAGTACATGTCATATAATATTTTTAGCATTATAATATTGTTACATGCAAGATGCTATGACAACAGCGTAAGCAATAAATAATGTTTTCCTTGAGAGAAACAGAAAAAGTTTTCAGAGAAGACAAACTCTGCTTACTCTCTTCCACATTAAAATATAGTTGTCTTTTTCCGCATCTTATTCTTAAATTCATAAGAAATCTATTTAATCAATCCCTGAAAAGATATTAATGATTAGTACAGTTGTGTGCTATCTCTCATAGGAGTATTTTGATTTCAAAAGAGTTTCTGGGCCCCAAAAGAAAGGTCACACACACACAAAAATTGTCCTTACTGGTTTACTTTTAGGCAATAGGAGAGAGAATCTTGGGTTTTAAGATGCTGCAAAACTTTTAACAAGATATGAGGCCCTGCTCTAATATTTTGAGACCCATCTGAGCTGCCACCAAAATAATAGAAAACCACTCTAAGAACTTGACTTCCAAGTCCCTCCCACCCTCCAGAATCCTCCCACTGTTGATGCATTGTTAGGAATATGTTACCATCATTTCTTAGATGCAAAGAAGGGCTTAAAGTTCATTTGGGATTTCTTATTAAAGCAGTGATTCACACCTTTCAGAGGGAGAGAGTAAATGGTGTCAGTTAAAAAGCTTTCTTTTTTATGCATTACTGATCTCCAATAAACCAGATTTCTTTTTATGTCTCTATCTCTAAATTTAATCCAAGCTGATGCACAGAGAGAGAATTCACAATTAACTGTGTGACCTCAAGCCACTCCTTTCTCCTTAGCCACGTATATCTTATTAACTTTTGATAATGGATATTTTTATGCTTTGGGAATTTATGACCAACTAAATAAATATTATGAGTCATGTCTCTCTTCTCTACTTTCATCCCACTCTCAATCCTGCCTCTTCTTCACCAAGCTAAGGCTTTGGGCGAACACCAGCCTAATCAAACTCAATGCTATAAATTGATTCTTTGTCTATACTGCATTTCCAGAATAGGAAAGACATAATATTTTGGTTTGCATAGTTGTAGTTGAGTTTTATACAGTTAGATCTTAGATGGAAGTAAATCATATGTATTATTTATAAAGAAAAATATAAGATAAAGGAAAAGTAAATTAAGAAGTTTGGGTAATATTAATAGAAGAGTTAAATGAAAAAATAAATGTCAAAAAATAATTGATTTTTCTGTGAATTCAATTTTGTTAATCCTCTTGACAGTTCATTAGTGTAGACAAATGAAGACAAGGAGATATATGCATTTCCATTAATTAAAAGGTGACTTCGAAGTATGAATGTCAGTCACTGTATAACCAAGGCATGGCTTAGAGTATCATATTACACTACAAAGGGACCTTAGAAATCATTTAGCTCAACCATTTCCTTTCAAAGAGGACATATTTACCTTGCCCAGTGTTTCAGGGTCCTTGGTGATGGGGGAGGGGGGGGAACCTGGGTCTTTTGTTTCCCAGACCAGTGTGTTTTCCATCACCCTCTTGATTCCTGAAAAACCTAATAACGGTGCAATGATACCTTCCACGTTGTGTATTCATCATTTCATTTTTTCTCAATAGCTTTTGCAGATCCTGTCATTGTTCTCAGCTGCCCTTGTTTCACAGGCTGGCGCACCTTCTGTTTGCATCTCAATTGGTTTATATTTAGGCCACATTTGTGAAGCAGAAATTTGAAGCTAAGCTAGAGGTAGAGTTATGTACTCTTTGATGTATTTTCTCTAACCTTCCCACCGTGTGATTCACTCACTGACTCTGGTCACCCAGCAGCTGCCCGAATGTCACGCTGGTGCTCATTCCCTGCACATGGCCAGGCAGAGCCTGCAGCCAGGGCTCCTCAGGGTGGCTGCATGGGCCACTCTCCAGGAGCCCATCACTGGTGATCTTATCTGGCTATTTATGGTTTCTGGGTAATACTGATACAGCTAGCCCTGAAAATTCTTTAATTTTTTTTTTTTAACTTTGGACTTCCTTTTATGGGTGATTGGGAGTTCCAGATAAATGAACCTTTCATTTGGAATGCTTTACGGGGGAAACATAAATGAAGCAGAAATGCTTTATTGAGCAAAACCTTTACTGTAAAGAGTAAACCCATTATTGAGAAATGGCTTGTCTCTGGGAAATTATGAACATCCCACCAAACAGGCAGCCTACTGAGAGGTCAGTAAAATAAGAAACATGTTGTAGCTTTTGGTTTTTAATATTACTACTTGTCTAATTTTTAGCTTAACCCCATTTTATCAGCAAATACCCTTCTCCATATGAAACCACTGGTTCTTAGACTTTAGCACATGCTAGAATTATCAGGAATCTCTATTTTAACAAGCATTTCCTTGTAACTTTAATTAGAAACTCCTGTTAAAGAAACCATTGGTATCTAGCACAGCTTTTTAAACGAAAACAAAATCAACATTTGTATTTATTGCTCAGAGGTCCAGATCATTTAATTAAAGTAAAAAGATGTTAATGCCAAAGTGTTTAATTGATATGAAACATTTCAATGCCATAGGCCAGGTTTCTAAAATGGAATGCTTAGGTTACAGGTCAATATGCTGAACTAAAAATGTGAGGTCTTTGGACAAAATGATAAAGAATGATTTTAACTCCCTTAGATTCATGTTATCCACTTTCTGATTTTCTCTTGTAGTGAGGAAAACATGAAACACTATGTCCGTTAGGGTCATTTAGCATCACTCAGCTCTGGGACCACAGATGGAACACTCACGCCTGACCAGTTGCCAGACATACACTCGGTTAAGCCACTGCCAGAGAATTAGAAACCGTGAATGGATTAAGACCAGCTATCATCACTAGAGCGAAAATGCTAATAGCACATGCTTTTCAGACTGTATTTTTAGTGCTAATTTATCAAAATGCATTGTTCCTTAATCTTCACGACTTTCAGTAGGCCTAACAACATATCTGATGGATACCATAGTATTCATCCAGGAGTACCTCCCAACCCCTAATTTACTGCTGTAAAATTTGCTGACCGGGCCTTTTAATTAAGTTTACTTTCCCAGGTAGGGATGTGGAGGAATGAATTGTGTGATGTTCTTGATGTCTCCAGAGTGAAACCCTGAATATTTGGCTTGACAAGGTGACATTCAGGCATTTGATATAATTTATTTTTATATGCTTAGAAAGTGTGCTTATAGAGAACAATATGTAGCTCCATCTGTAAATGAGCCAAACAGCAATTTTGAAAAAGGGGTCTCATCTTGGAATGGCCCCTTGCCTTTTTCCTCATTTTTTAAAAGGAGAAAAGCATAGCAAGCCGCAGCCCCTAAGGGATTCACCAAGCAAAGCAAAGGATAAGAGGTATAATGCATGGGCTCAAAGTCAGTGATGGACCGAAACGCGAGGGGGAATGAGAGAGACGGGCTGACAGTTAACTGCAGGGAACCAGCTGGGTGAAGTGTGCCTGACACTCAGCACAGGGGTCCTGCAGGCAACCAGAT